ATAAATACTCTATACTCAATGGCGGCCAAAAATGTTTAATTTGTCTGTGTTTTCACACTTGTTCCTTATTTACTGATGTACTTTTAATTATTTTCAATACATTAACTTTATATATTAACCATACTTATATTTTTAATATAGTAACTTCAGCATGTGGACCTACATTTAGTAACCAAAAAAGTACACTACTGATGTCCTTTACTTTATTTGTACTTTAGATACTTTGGGTGAATATTTATGCAGAGGTATGCCCCCTGTATGCCTCCCAGTGGGGGTTTGCCATGCCCAGCCTACCGGGACGAGACCCCAGGGTCGTCCTAGGACCCGCTGGAGGGATTATATCTCCAAGTTGGCCTGAGAGCGGCTTGAGGTCCTCCAGAATGAGCTGGAGGAAGTTGCGGGGGACAGGGTCATCTGGGATTCTCTGCTCTCCCAGCTGCTACCTTGACCCTATTTTGACTAAGCGGTTAAAGCGGTTAATGATGATGATGATGATGCTCTTACCACTGAAACAAGGCTGCTTTGTGCAATACACTAAACCTTAAGGAATCTTTAAGGAAATTTCAGTTAAGATGCCAACAGCCACAGACTCTAGTCATGGTTCAATCTCAAAGTCAGTCTAAGGTGAAGCTCTGTTGGCAGCGATCAACTTTTTCCAACCTAGTGATGTCCCCTCTGCTCATTGTCCAGCCCTGATGCTTCTGTTTTACAGGCGAGAAATTGCTTTTTTTGTTTCTGGTAAACTCTGTGATTAAAAATCGTCCTGTGGATCTGCTCACTTTGTAGGCCCAGAAGTCCCAGCCTTAGCTGCCAAAGTCCCAGCTCATCCGATCCCTCTGGAGAATCCAAGCCGTCTGGCCAGTGAATCCTCTGCGCCCCTCCTTCCTTTGTCTCCATCGGATTCCCTGGGCCGGTTCTGTTCCCTGTTTCCAGTCCTGTGCCACTCTTTTTAAGTTTTTCATGTTTTAGTGAGTGGACAGTCAAGCCAACAAAGCCAACAAATATTTGGACATTGACAAAATTATTGTTAATTTAGCTAACATGGTTAAAAAATGAATAATGAATATGAGCTCAAAGTGCAGACTTTCAGCTTTAATTTGAAGGTATTTACATCTAAATTAGGTGAACAGCATCGGAATTACAACCATTTTCATACATAGTCTCCCTATTTTTAGGCTCAAAAGTAATTGGGCAAACTTGCATATTCATAACTGAAACTGTCCCTTTTAATAACTGTTCGCAATTCCTTTGCAGTCAATGACCGCATAAAGTTTACAACTAATGTACAACACCAGCTACTGGGTTTCTTCCCTGGTGATGCGTCCTGAATGCTCTTCTTTCAGCAGGCACATCATCAATAAATACAGGGGAACCAGTTTCACTGGCATCCATACACGCCCACGCCATGACACTACGTCCACAATGCTGGACAGATGAGGTCGTACGCTTTGGAAGCATCTTCCTGCCTTCTCACGGTAACACTTTCTATGAATGTCACGTTTGTAAGCATCTATAAACAAATTTATAACATGTTATAATGCATCATACGGCATTATAAACATGATTATAAACATTTATAAAAATGAATTACACTGGATTACACTTTATAGCCATGTTTATTATACATTATGAATTGTTAATATAATGCATTATAAATAGTGTTAATAACATGTTATACTGTCAGTGCCAAAGAAGCAGATTGTATTTACTGATTGATCTTAGATATTCTTATTTTTATTATTTAAAGTCTAATCTCGCAGTCTGATGAAAGATGGGTTTTTAGTTGATAGCATGTGTGATCTGCTGCTTGTTATGGATTCTCATCACGCTTAAATGAAAATGAATCGCTGGTGTAAATTTCCTTGCCACACTTTTGCTTCAGGAAGCTCGTACAGCTGAGGTTCAGCATGTTAAAGCAGTGTAATCCAGCTCTAATCTTCACCACGGAAACCTGGATCACTGAGTTTAACTCTCTTTAGTCAGTGAGTCTCTCTTCACCTTTATTCCAGCTTCCATTCTCTTCAGGAGACTCTCAGTTCCTCAAAGAATCTGCAGACACACCTCCAAAGTTCAGTCTTAGAAGCTGGTTGATCATTTTCTGAAGTAATCAAACTCATTCAGTGGTGTTGAGGTCTGGACTCTGGGGTGGTCAGTCCATCGTTCAGCTTCTTTGTTTGATGTGTCCGTCTCCTTTTCTCAGTGAGGTTCTTCTTGATCAGCTACACATCCTTTCAGACCCACAGCGCTGAGTCGTCTTCTCACAGTGGAAGGATGGACAGAAACACCTGTGGATGTTTTCAGATCTGAAGCAGCTTGATTTCTCCTCTCTCTCAGAGATGAAAGCTTTAATAGCATTAAAATATCTCTACACAGCCGAATCTTCAGCGATGTACATGTTTCACTCACATTCACTGATATTTGATGACTGAGTGTAAAAATAAAAAAAGCCGTTTTATAATTTATATTTGATTTATATGTCCGGTTGGTAACGTATCAATGTTGTACTTTTATACAGTTGTACAGTACGTTGGGTTCACTGGTCCCAGTTCAACCCAGGTAGCAATACAAGTGTTTAAATGATGAATACTAAAGCAGGGGTACATAAGACTGATATATTTTATTGAGATTGTACGTGTATCTCAGATTCTGTTGTCACTGTCTGAACCAAACCTTGTATCTCCAAAAAAAATAACTTAGCAAGTGAAGGAAAACACATTCGTCATCAATCTGAAGAACAATTTCACCATGCAAAGAAGAATTTAAGCATGAAATGGCTTCTATGTACAACACTGTTTCGAAAAAAGTTGGGATGCTGTGCAAAACGTAAATAAAACATAAAGGATTGACAAATTTAATTGACAATAGTATAGTAATAGACAACATATCAAACAGTGAAACTGAGAAATTTTATTGTTTTTTTATTCAATCTATTTTGAATTTGATGCCAGACTGGTGAAGTTGTGCTAACAGAAAACAACTGGTGGAACATCTTACAACTAAGTAGGATAATTGTCAGCAATTATATTAGCAATAATAAAATTGGGTATAAAAAGAGCATCTCAGAGTCTTTCACAAGTAAAGATGATGAGGGGTTCACCACTCTGTGAAAGACTGCACAGGCAAATAGTGCAACAATTCAAAAAGAGTGTTTCTAAATTTAAAACAACGAAGAACCCATCACCTATGGTACAGAATATCATTAAAAGATTCAAAGAATCCAGAGAAATTTCTGTATGTCAGGGACAAGGCTGAAACCAGTATTGTCTGGCCATGATCTTCATGATCTTTACACAACAATTCTACTGTGTAAATCACTGCATGGGCTCAGAAACCCTTCTGAAAACCACTGTTTGTGAACACAACTCATCACTGCATCCACAAATGCAAGTTAAAACTCTACCAGGCAAAGACAAAACCATGTATAAGCAGGATCCAGAAACACTGCCGCCTTCTCTGGGTCTGAACTCATTTAAGATGGACTAAGGCGAAGTGGAAAAGTGTCCTGTGGTCCATTGAATCAAAACTCTAAATTCTTTTTGGAAATCATGGACACTGTGTCCTCTGGGCTAAAGAGAAGAGGGACCGTCCAGCTTGTTATCCATCACAGTTCAACAGCCAGCATCCGTGATACTATGGGTGGGGGAGCATTAGTGCACATGGAATTGTTGACTTGCACATCTGTGAAGGCACCATTAATGCTGAATGATATATACAGATTTTGGATCAACATATGCTGCCATCCAGACGACGTCTTTTTCAGAGAAGGCCTTGATTATTTCAGAAAGACAATGTTAAACCACATTCTGCATGTATTACAGCAGCATTGCTCTGTATTGAAAGAGTCTGGGTGCTAAACTGACCTGACTGCAGTCCAGACCTGTCACTGCTGAAAACATTTGGTGCATTATGAAATGTAAAATACGACAAATGAGCCCCAGAACTGTTGAGCAGCTGAAATCCTGTATGAAGCAAGAACAGGAAAACATTTCACTTTCTAAACTACTACAGTGTCTCCTCAGTTCCCAAAGGCTTACTGAGTGTTGTTAAAGAAGAGGTGATGAAACACAGTGGTAAACAGGCCCCTGTCCCAACTTTTTTGGAATGTGTTGCAGGCATCAAATTCAAAAGGGCATACATTTGTCAAAAAAACAACATTTCTCAGTTTTATCATTTGATAAGTTGTCTTTGTACTATTTTAGATTAAATATGGGGTTTAAGTGATTTGCACATCGTTGCACTCTGTTTTCATGAAAATTTTGCACAGTGTCCCACTTTTTTGGAGACCGGGCTGTAGAGCCATTGTCTTCACCAAAGAACCCTTAACCATCTCCTTTAAGAGTGTACTGTTGTGATGAACTGTCCGTCAGTCTGCAGAAGCCCAGTCTGAACAGAACTCTACAGTGCACAGTTAAATACCATTGCAGCAGTAAATGGCACACTGTTTCCGTGAGCCTTGGTGACCAGGGCTATGTATCCCCATAGTGCTGTTAATACCTCACTCCTTTAAAGGCCTGGAAATTGACCATTTGCTCGGACCTCAAGGTGTGCCGTACCATACATGTTTGTATATACAGACACGAACGCATGAATTCTCCAACTTGGAAATAAAGACTAAAACAACAGTGCAAAATAAGATTAGAATAAAGAAAAACAGAAAGTAAAAAACAAAACAAAACATTCCACACTGCATATTTGCTGAGGCTGCATTTGCAGATGTTACATTCATACTGTGAAGAGAAATGAAACCAATTAATCCATGGGAGTTGCTGATCAACACGGATCTGAAAGGTCCTCTGATTCTCTGGGCTCCTCTGTTCTCACTCACATAAATTCTGTTAAGAACTACATTATTCCTCTTTTATAAACCACACCGATGTTGAGAGGTTGACGCACTTCCTTGAGCCAGTTTCTAAAACAACAGCCAGCTTCTTCTGATGGTGACCACAAGTCCTGGACACAGCACTGGCGCTAACAAACATGCTTTCACTTTGATGCGATCACTCCAGAGCAGGAAGGTTGTCAGGAGGTTTGGAACCAGAAGGATCTTTCTCAGCTCACCTTCATAGCTTCGACATCCCGTTTCAAGGAGCACCATTCGGTCCATCAGACCGCATGTCTGTCCGGATTCAAGAGTTTATTGTCATTGTTTGGCAAACAACGAAAGCGTCTTTGCCTCTAAGGATGACCTGTCTGACCGACGTGCAGCACTGTCCTCTCAAACTTACATTTCTGTTTTTCTGGCTGCTGTTGGGGATCGAGAAGTTGATGGAGATGCAACTGTCCTGCCCGTGCAAGCCTGGGGTGAACGAGGCATTTGTGGCCTTCATGTTCATCGTGCCGGCTCTGCTTGTGTTCACCGTAATGCTGCTTCTTACAAGGCCGTGCAAACACCCTTGCAGGAGGGGGTCAAGCCGATTTGCTCAGGCTCTCTTGCCTTGCCTGATTCCACCTACTTTGTGGGTCATTTTGTTACTTCTGAATGGTCAGTACGTGGCCTGCGGGTTAACATACTGGAAAGGAATCTATGTCTTGGATGAGGACAAGCCTCCGTTGTTGTGGTGTGAACCTTCTAGTTCAAGAGAATCAGTGGAAAAAGCATTGTACCGACGTTACATTGGATGGTCACAGGTGAGAGGTTGATATGTTATTTGTACAGATGGCATGATACCACTTTGTATTGAAGCTTTGAGTTTCGGCTGGTGCTGATCCAATCTTGTACCAGATCTTGTATCAACCAAACTCAAAGCTTTAAATCTTGTACCAGATACTGATCCCAACCAATACTGATCCAATCTTGTATCGAATCAGTATCAATATTAAAGCTTGGATTTTTCCCTGATACTGATCCAATCTTGATAATAATGGTACTAATGGTACCATTAGTAATGGATTAATAATGGTACTGAAGCTTTGAGTTTTGGCTGATACCGATCCAACGTTGTATCAGATTGATAACAATATTAAAACCTTGAGTTAATAATAGTACTGAAGCTTTAAGTTCCAATGTTGTATCAGATCAATAACAATATTGAAACCTTGAGTTTCGACCAATTCTGATCCAATCCTGTATCAGGTCGATACCAATTTTAAAGCTTTGAGTTTCGGCTGGTACTGATCCAATCTCGTACCAGATCAGTACCGATACTGAAAGCTTGAGTTCCAACCAATACTGATCCAATCTTGGATCAGATTAATTATGGTACTGAAGCTTTGAGTTTTGCCTGATACTGATTCAATCTTGTATTACATACCAATATTGAAGTTTTGATACTCATCCAGTCTTGTATCAGATTGATATAGATCCTGAAACTTTGACTTTCAACAGATACTGATCCCATCTTGCATCAAATCAATACCGATACTGAAGTTTTTGGTTTCAACTGATACTGATCCAATCTTGTATCAAATCAATACTGTGGCATGCGCCTGTCCCCCGGGCTCGATGGCAGCCTCAAGAGCTGGCAGGAAGGCAGGGCCTGAGCTCCGAGTGGGGAAGAAGCCCGGTGAGGACGGTGGGGAGAGGAACACTGCAAGTGAGGGGGGGGGGCACATGCCACAAATACCAATATTGAAACCATGAGTTTCGGACGATACTGATCCAATATTGTGTGAAATCGATACCGATATTGAAACCTTAAGCTTAACCGATAATGATCCAATCTTGTATCCAATCGATACCAATTTTGAAGCTTTGAGTTTCACCTTATACTGATCTAATATTGTATCAGGTTGATATCAATACTGAAGCTTTGAGCTTCCACCAAAACTTATCCAGTGTTATCAGATTGATACCAATATTGAAGCCTTAAATTTCGACTGATACTGATCCAATCTTGTGTTACATTGATACCAATATTGAAGTTTTCAGTTTCAACCGATACTGATCCAGTCTTGTATCAGATCGATACTGATATTGAAGCTTTGGGTTTTGGCCGATACTAATCCAATCTTGTATCAGATCGATACCAATATTGAAACCTTGAGTTTCGACCAATACTGATCCAATGTTGTATCGGATCGATACTGATACTGAAGCTTTGAGTTTCAGCCAATACTGATTCAATCTTGTTTGAGATCAGTGCTGTATCTACTTTTATTTGTTTTAATTTTCTACTCAGCAGCCTTTTATCTTTCATTCATTTATTTATTTGTTTTTTTGAATGACTTTGCATTGTGGAAGCCACTTATAGAGCCATGACATGATTGCCTAACCCATTGTTTCCCAACCCGGTCCTCAGGGCCCCCAGACGGTCCAGGCTTTCGCTCCTACCTAACTTACAACTCCCATAGGGATGAAGGAAAATTGTGGACCTGTTCTTGTTTTTCCTGGAATCATAATAGTCACAATAATATTGTTGAGCCTTTTTATAATACAAGCCCCAGTTTTTAAGCTCTTTTTTCATTTTAAGGTCTCAGGCCTTATTCTAGTGTGTTCCATCTGCATCGTGACCGTGGTCACTGTGGGTCAGCGAGACTGTCGCCAAGCTAGAGAGGGAACTACACCTGAGGAGGTATTGCATTTTTGGGGGAGGTGGGGTGGGGTGTATTTGAAAGCTACCTACTTAGGGACTTAATCATGGACTTCAAATTTTCTTGTGTGGCATCAGCTGTCTATAAAACTCAAGCAGTGCTTTATAAATGCAGTGTTATTCAATGATTATGCATGTGTTATGAAGTCTCTATGACATGTTACTGCATTTTGTTCCTATCGTAATAGAAGTTAATCTTTTTTTCCTTTTTGTTATTTTATTTTAATCCAAATCTTCTGTTCTTCTTTAATCACATATGCACATGTAAAACATGTTTTTGTGTGAATTCACTAATTATTTACTAATTACTGTTTTTGGCCTCTCTGAGGTCGTAAGCATAAACAAGTAAGCACTGTAATCTGTGTAATTCATAATGTCTTGCTCATTTTAGGAGGCTCCAATTCTTCATTCCTGAGGCTCTCTGGAGTTTGGATGAAGAACATGGTCATATTTTACTGATTTATATTTCAGTTCAGATGTATTCTCAGCTAATGTAGTAAATACATAATAAAGATGAGATATTGAGCATTAAATAAGGGTTTAGCTTAAATATTGAAGCGAGTACCAGTGTTTCCCCTACCATTTAACTGTTCCAGCCAGAGTTTTCTAGGATTAAAATTCTTTGTCAACTGAAATTGGTTTGGTTTAATGTGATAAAGGCAGAACAAAGACGTGAAACAAGTGAGTGCTCCCCCTGCTGGATGTTTGTAGACCTCAGCAATCAACTTCCTAGCATTTGTCAAGCCCTAATAATGAATAGAAATTATTAACATACAACTAAATATTTTATAAACACCAATATACATTTTTTTGGAAATTGGCCCAGTATGAACTTCAGTGGTGCAATTCTTCAGAAATAAACAGACTACAAATGAATTCTCTGTTATTTTGTCACAATGTACTGAAAATTAAAGTGCTTAAGATGTAGAGTTTGACTGTTCCTTCAGTTCCTTCAGTCATGTTTGTGTATTCAGTGTATTTCTAAAGATAATTACAAAATAATCAGACCCAGCTGAATCTAATCAAGGTGAACTTTGAGATACGATGCATCAGGTTGTTTCCAAAAAAAGGTCAGAGGTTTTTTGTTTTTTTCTTCAAACAAAGCCATGGATTGGATGCCTAAGTAAACCTGTTTTTGTAGGTAAACAGTGGCTTTTTTTTTGTTTTTTATTCCCCCTTCATTTTTTAACAAGAACCACTTATAACAGCCAAAGTTCCACCTTAAATGGAGCAGCAGTTACATTGTGGCACAGGTAAAGGCCTGAATGTAATTGCTGCACCATGTAAGGTGGAACTGGAATTTGAATGAGCCAACTTCACCTTCGCAAAATTGTGGTGGGAGGGCTGGGGGGAGGGGTGCCTACGGGGGGGCTGGGGGGAGGGGTGCCCACGGGCCAACCACATGTACCCAAGCAGTCCTGGGATTTGAACCCACAACCTCTCCGATCACTAGGCTACCAGTCACACTTCAGCATGAAGGTAACGTGATATAACCCCAAATTATTTTATTATTTATTTAACGATATTTGACAATAACTGATGAAAAAAAAAAAAAATAAGAGCTTATTACCAGAAATCAACAAACCGCTTAGAATGCTAGGAAGCTTCACTTTCCAGAGGGCTTTAAGTTCACTGCTCATCAATTCAACCTGAAAAATGAACTGAAATTAACTAGTTTTATTCAACCTAAATAAATACTTTGAATGAACGATTCTTTTTATCACTGTAATGAGCTGAATAAATCTAGCTCAGTTGATTGTTACTACATTAGTTAAGCGTTTGATCTGACGAGCCACTTTTTACTGTGTATGTTTACTTATTTGACTGTTAAATATATCAATGTTTTCTTCACTCAAACCAATGAATGAATTTCAACATTTCCACAGTTTCTTCTTCTTGAGAATCATACAGAAAGGACGATATGGGTCTAAACCTAAACTCACTCTTTTTGTTTAGTTCTCACATATGGTCACCTTAAGTAGGGTGACCATACGTGACGTCCACAGATGTGTGGTCATATTTGTGTTTATGAATATTGTAATTTTTGTATGTATTGCATTCATTTTCCTCACTTTTCTAAAATGTGTTGGAGGTTAAATTACATTGTTCATATGATGACGCTTTTAGCCAGTAATGTGCTGCAGAGACGTTCTAGCTTTGAGAATCTGTTGCTATACCTTTTTCAGAAACAGCAGGGGGCAGTGTGAAGTGGACCGTTGCTCTACATGCTCTACGTCTTTTCTAAAAAGACAAAACACATTACAAATCCATCAGGAACATCCAATGGGTTGATGCAACACCTGCTAGAAAAGTCTGATGAATCAGTGCAAAATTAATTCAATATAATTCTATGTGGTAATAAACAAAAAAATTTTCCAACCAAACTGCATTATATATTATCATCTATAAGACAGACAGACCAACTGATACACACACATCAGGTTATATTGAACACTGACTGAGTCAAACAGTGACAGACTTATTTATTAGCAAATAAAAACATCAGTAAAATATGAACATTGTTTCTGAATAACTACAGCTTTACTGACTGATAATGGGTGGGACTAACATGCACGCTTGGCCTGACCGGCTATGAAAACAAAACACAGAGAAGCTCAGATTACATACACACATTCTCTGCTCAGGACGCTGTTACACCTCTATATCTTTACATAGATAATAGCTGTTTGCTGCTATATTAATGCTTAAAATGTCAAATATAGAACCTTTAAAACAGCATAGAAGAAGGAACTAGCGGACGAATGCATGATAGATATTTAGATTATTTGTTTCATGATGTGTATTCATATGGAAATTAAGAATAGCACATTTTTCCTGTATAAAAACAAAAATATTGGAGAATCAGTGATTTTAAAGAAAGGGATTTTTCTGATAATGATGCTGATATTAAAGCCTTGAGTATATTTTCATATTCCTGATCTGATTATTGATTTACATTTTCAGCTCACCTTCTATCATTCATTCCACGAGCTGCGAAGTGGCTCACTCTTTAAAAAAAGACAGTGTTTTAAGGGTTCTTTAGTAAAGAAAATGGTTTCATGAAGAACCATGAACACTCAAAGAACCGTTTGCGTGATTAAAGGGTTCTTTGCATCATGAAAACGTTCCTCAGATTTTTAAAAAAATGGGCATGAATTTGCTGCAGATGGCTGTATGTAGAATCTTTTTGAAAAGGGTTCTAGATAGCACCCAAAATGGTTACAAGCTTGACATCGTAACAATAGAAGAACCTTTTTTTGGTGCTATACGCAACTATGTTCAAAAAGATTCTATATAGAACCCTATACAACACATTCTCCACCAATCTGAACAACCATCTCACCTCGCAGAGAACCATTTAATCATGCAAAGGGTTCTTTGTGTTTTCATGGTTCTATATAAAACCTTTTTCTTTACTAAAGAACCCTTGAAGCACCATCTTTTTTTTAAGAGTGTACATGGACTACATAACTTGTTCTTGTTTTTCCTGGAACCATAATAGTCACAATAATTATAAATAATAAACCCCAGTTTTAAGCACAGGCCTTCTTCTGGTGTGTTCCATCTGCATGGTGACCGTGGTCACTGTGGGTCACTGAGACTGTCGTCAAGCGACGGAGGGAACTACATCAGAGGAGGCTTGTTTTTCCTGTAGTAGTTCAGCAAGTTGGTCTTTTTGTTTCTATGCATCAAAGCTATTGAGATATGTTATAATCTATATATCCTCATCTTTTGTGGATTGTTTTTTTATTTGTTTTTTCATTTTTTATTCGTTTTTCATTTTTTGATGTACTTTGAAAACACCAGCTGCTCATAAAAAAGACAAGATGAACCATCAGAAATCACCCAACATGACTTTAATAGAGATACAAAGCTTTTTTTTTTCCAAAAACAATAGGTACATCCAAAAACCTTCCTTTTTAATGGGATTTTACGAAGTAGTGCAGACATTATCCCTCGCTCATTATTTTTTGGCCTTTTCAAAAGTTGATCCAAGTGAGCACTGTGAGCGTTTTCCAGCTCCTGTGTGATTCATGATGTCTTGCTCATTTTAGGAAGCTCCTCTTCTTCATTCCTGAGGCTCTGCTGAGTTTGAATGAAGAGAAATGTTCCTATTTATTTGGTTTAAAACTAGAATTCTGTTTTATTTTCAGGGTGGCGCAGTGGGTGGCACTGTCACCTCACAGCAAGAAGTGCCTGGGTTTGATTCCCCGGCCGGGTAACCAGGGTCCTCTCTCTGGTTCCCTCCCACAGTCCAAAGACTGCAGTCAGTCCAATTGGACGTGCTAGATTGCCCCTCGGTGTGAGTGTGTGTGTGTGATTCTATATGTCTGTCTGTCTGTCCTGCGATGGACTGGTGACTTGTCCAGGGTGTTTCCTGCCATCTCCCCAGTGACTGCTGGGATAGGCTCCAGCTCCCCCCCATGACCCAGAAGGATAAAGTGGCTTGGAGAGTGTGTGTGTGTGTGTGTGTGTGTGTGTGTGTGTGTGTGTGTGTGTGTGTCTGTGTCTGTGTGTGTGTGTCTGTGTCTGTGTGTGTGTGTGTGTGTGTGTGTGTGTGTGTGTGTCTAATTATCAAGTAATGTATTAAGTATACTTTAAGTATTAAGTACCATTACATCGTTCCAGCCAGCTGTAGGACTTAATTGTGTGGCTACTTTCTAATATTAAGCAAAGCCTACTGAAATGTGGTTTTACTTACATATGAAAAGACAAAGGGGTGAAACTCAGGCGCAATGTTTCCTCTTAGAAAACAAGTGAGAGCTCCAGACATTAGCAATCAACTTCCTGTAGCATCCGTCAAGCCTGAATAATAACTAAACATTATAAACATATAAAGTATTTTTTGAACATCACTGTACAGTTCTTTTGAAATATATGCAAGTTTTTCTTTGGCCTGGTATGAAATGTAGTAGATTGTAAATTAACTTGGTAACACTTTCTATGAATGTCACCTTTGTAAGCATCTATAAACACATTCATAACATGTTATAATGCATTAATAAGGCATTATAAACATGGCTATAAATATTTATAAAAATGCAATATACATTATAGCCATGTTTATTATGCATTATGAATTGTTAACATAATACATTATAAGTACTGATCATAACAAATTATAAGAGCTCATAAGTGGTATTTGTCCGCTCTGAGTAAAGTGAAGCGTACTGTACTAAAGCCTCCTCCAGTGTTCAGAGTGAGGCTTCAAGTTGAAGTATTTACTGAAGGATTTACTGAAACACTAAAACATTCACAGTAAAGCACATTACAGGCTTCAAATGTCAGAGTTTAAACTAGAGCTGCCATCAGTGTTTTACCCAATGTGGGAAAGGTAATGTTCACCACCGTTAGCTTGGTATTTGTCTTTACTTTACGCTCTCCAAGCTGGGACTGACTTCTTTGGCCCTGACAGTATAACATGTTATCAACACTACTTATAATGCATTATATTAACAATTCATAATGTATAATAAACATGGCTATAAAGTGTAATTCATTTTTATAAATGTTTATAATCATGTTTATAATGCCGTATGAAGGCATTATAACGCTATAAATGTGTTTATAGATGCTTACAAACGTGAGATTCATAGAAAGTGTTACCATTAACTCCTAATCACTTTACAGTGCACAACTGTGTACATTTTGTAAGACTATGTATGTGTATCTGCTCAATGAAGAGAAACTGCTGGAACTGGGTGATGAAAAACTGTAAATCACATGGAATTAAACAAACTTGTTCTCAGATTCCCATCAAAGTCATACTTGCCATACAAACATACATTCCTGGTGGAGGGATACATAATATGCAGGGTGATGTGCAACAAAATAGTCCCCAAAGAAAACTTACTATTTCAGATTTTCCACTATTTTCCATCATCAACATTCCATATAAACTCAGAAGACTCGTGTAGGTTCACTGGTGGTTCTGGATGGTAAATAAAATGTCTATATCTGTGTTGTAGTCATGGTGACCCCTGGTTCCTATCACCACCACTGTAAAGACATCTGAACCACTTCACACCAAACCACTCTGAATCTCTCTGTTTACATCTCACACACTGAATTATGGGTAATTTTTGAAAAACTTTTCTTTCAATATGGCATTTTCTGCACATTTTAGTGCACAATTTCTATTTATTTGCTGAATTTAGCCTATTGAGGAAAACATTAGACTACAACGTTTGCCACATTTGAAGTATATTTTTTTGAATATGTTTTTTTCATTATGTTGTGTATTAAATTGCGCAGAAGTGTGTTCTCTGTGCAGAAAATGTTAACTAACTTTCACTGAGAAAACAAAACCATGGAATTTGATCAAACCTTTGCAGTTGTGAAGCGTTTATTGTTTGAAGGCCTCTATTGTTGTAACAGTCTTACTCATAGCTGCAGTTCTAGGTATAGGATTTCACATAATAGGGGTGGAAAATTAAGCTACTTAATCCATGGAACTTGCCCAACAGGTTTTTTTTAAATGTCCAAACTATCTGCTTCATGTGGGCAGGAGAGCATAGATCTAAACAATTGTGTGCAGGCTGAGTGCTTCACATCTTTGCCTCCAAACACGTCTTTTCTCCGGGAATTTCTGCTCGTGATTAAGGAACAGTTACAGAAGTCTCCTCTCCGAACCACCATTCCATTTAGCTTCATCCTGATGGGAGTGGAAAAGCTGATGGACATCGAGTTTCTTGGCCCATGCAAGCCTGAGTTTAAAAAGCTGTTTGTGATCTTGTTTGTCGCTCCTGCTTTACTTGCGTTCGTCATAATGATGTTACTTCCAAAGCCATTTAAACGTTGCAGGTGCTGTTCTTGCGAATGTCGGTGTGCAAAGACCTTCCTTCCTTGCCTGATTCCACCACTTGTCTGGGTCATTTCGTTGCTTATGGATGGGCAGCATTTGGCCTGTGGATTAACGTACCGGGAAGGAAGTTATGTGTCGGATGAGGGCAAGACTCCTAAATGAAATGGTGCAAACCCATTAGTTCAATGGAGCAAAGAGAAAAAGGATTATACACAGGATACATAGGACAGTCAAAGGTATGAATCTGCAACATGCACAGTGAAAATGAGTTTGCTGAATTTAACGTATTGGAAAATAATGAAGAATAAAAACTGGCCTGTGCAAAAGTTATGGCACATTTTATATTTTATAATTATCCATCATATTAAACTGAACGAGTAAATAGAAACTGTACACTAAAGTGTGCAAAAGTGAGTGTCTGTATAGGACGTGTTAACTTATTTAGAAAATTAACAAAATACATAGAGAATTCATGGAGAACCACTTATTGCGAGTAATGATGATTCTTCACAAGAGCTTTGGGTTCAGGCAACGGCGAGTTTATTAGCTGACAAACACAATAACAAAACATTGGGGTCATAAAAAGATGCAGACTGATGGTAGAGATGGCACATCTGTATTACACCAATGCATTCAGCTCCTGTTCAACACAGTGTAAACCACAACTCTGTGTCTGTCCAACGCCAGTCTAATCACTCGCTAACATTAACATGTTTAACAAATTAGAAGAGCTGCTGTTTATGAAATGTAAAACTACTTTTAGGAGCAGAACTCAACTTTTCTGCCTACTGTCTCTCTGTGTACACAACACCAGTGACAGTGACAGGTATAGCGATGACATCGTAGATAACTTGACCTTGAGATAATGCACGTGAACTAAAATACTGATTATTTTAAATGAATATTAAATGCAATATTTTAATAAACCAGATACAAATCTTTTCTCAAGTCTTATTCCATGATAATAGCAGCTGGAATTTGTTTTTAACTTCTGTTTTAACTGTTGGATTTAAGGTTGGGGTCTTGCACTGCTGTCTGTCATCTGCGTTATAGCCGTGATTGTTCTTGGTTGCGTGGACTGTCGTCAAGCTACGCAGCAGGATGATCAACCACTTCTGCCTGACGCTGCAGAGGAGAGAGCAGCAGAGGTGTTTTTACAACAGGTGTTGTCACAAAGCAGCTTTACAAGGAAATCAGCATTACAGAAAGAAATCCGGGTCCGAGCCCCCATGAGCGTCGCCAGTGGCAACAGTGGCAAGGAAAAACTCAGTAAGAGAAACAGGAAGAAACCTTGAGAGGAACCAAGACTCAGAAGGGGAACCCGTCCTCCTCTGGTCGACACCGGATAGTAAACATTGTTAGTACAAAAACAGGGAAAACAGGCAGAGCAAATGATTAATTTGATTAGTTTAGTTCATGCAGCAGCAGCAGCAGCATCAGTGGGGTCAGGTTGTGAGGGTGGGGTTTGCACGGCGTAGTACAGCATGGAGCTTGATGGTGGTCAAGCCGGTCCAGAGGGCTGGCAGCAGTGGCACCCAATCAAGGCAGAAGAGGCAGCAGCATCAGACGCACAGGATGGGTAGCTGTTCAACTCGGCAACGGAAAGAAAGAAAGGAAAAACACACAAAGAGTCAGTTCTGTAATGGGTGATTGGTTAAATTGATTAGTTTAAATGATTAATTTTGATTAGTTCATGCAGCAACAGCAGTAGCATCAGTGGGGTCAGGTGTACAGTCATTTTCATTTCTAGTTATTTTTTTTTCAATCATAAGAAATTTTTTTATTAAATACCAAGAAGGCTTTTATTATGTACCGTTCGTGAATTGATGACAATAGTTGATGCGAACAATTACAGCATGTCATTCATGATGCTTTTCTAATTTTAGGAGGAAAATCTTCTGGTTGCCTGATGGCTGAGGCTCTCCTGGGTTTGGATAAATCAGAATATGATAAAAAAATCAGTGATACTACAACAGGCTGAATCTTAAACAGGTATGCATAGACTGAACTATGTTTATTGTGTACCCTTAATGCTGTTATGTAAATGTTATGTCGTATAAATGATATTCCTGGATTATATTGCTTTCCTGTGGAGTTCTGTAGTTATTTTCTACTAGTCAGCCTTAAGATCTATGTGAAAAAAACATCTTTTAGCACTGATTTAAGTAATTTGTTAATCAATATAATCATGCTTGTTGTGTTTGGACTCTATAAGTGTTGTATTACATTGTTAAGTTTTGGTTGGAAACAAAAGGGTTAAAAATTTGAAACATACATGAACAAACTGCCCAATCAGGATTGTTTTCTCTGTGGTATCTAAGTAGCGTGGTATCTGAGCGAGCTCTCCTATTGGTCAGGACTTCAGGAGCTGAAGAGAAGTCCTAACATGTTAGATTAACTACCAGCATCATTAGGAACTGACAGAGGAAACAACCAATCATGCTCTGATTTACAGTGGGAGCAGTTTCAAGAGAGAAAACTTTACTCTAGAACCTTCTGGAAGTTCTAGATAATTTGCTGGCTGTAAATGTGAGCTGTAGTTTAACCAGGATATGGTTAGTTGCTGGAAACAGAAAATCTATGCCAATATATGATACAGATGTGCTAAAAAACAACAGATTCTCCTCTAACTAAACACACCGGTGTGTTCAGTTTCAAACGACACATTTTCAGTTATTTTGAACACAAAATGTGTGGAAAAATGTCTGTGTCCACTTATAGATAGGACATCTTGGGTTACTTTTCACCCAGAATGTATAAAATCAGAAAACATGTGACACAAAAAGTGTAAAAACAGGTAACACAAGTAAGTGTGTTGTTATTTAACACCACATTTTAGAGTGTATTTATAAAGTAAGACATGTATTTATATAAACACACACTGAGCGCTTTATTTGGAACACTCCACTAATTCTGGGCATCAGTGGATGGTTTTACATTATTGCTCAATTCTGAGTAACAATCAAACCACCTTGGGAGCCACAACATTTTATGTCCATTCACCATCTTGGCTGTAAATATGTCTCAGTATGTGCTGATTTACTAGTATAGACTAAAAAATATAATATATAAATGAAAACACAGACTCACTTTGCTCTGCTTTAATCTTCAGCTCAGCTATAGTTGCTTTTCTCACATCTCCAGCAGGAAACTTTTCCTCAAAAGTAGAATAGTTTCTGAAGTCGCTTCTCATTCTCCAGCTTCTTGTTCAAATTTTCCCGTTACACCTTAAATGCTGCCCGAAGTGCCAGAATGTAACTGCTGCGCCATTTAAGGTGGAACAGGAGAATTCGAACGAGAAGCTGGTGAATGAGAAACTGACTTCAGCCTCGTGATGTTTTAGTGTTTGTTTAGTGTTTGTCACTGCAGATTAAACGTATCAGGAAACCAGCTGGAGTGATTATAAACACAAATAAGTCCATTCGTCTCCAAATTATCGATGTTCATCTTAAATCTCTCTCTTTGCCGTTTCGTTAGCTATTAGCTAGGCGAGATCGTTGTCTGTGTTGCTAAGGCCACCAGCAGTCTGTGCTGATCTTCAGGGTTAAAGGTTGAATTAGCAGTTCTACATTAACTCCAGAGTTTAAGACCATTTATTGTTAAACTGTGTTAAAACTGTGTTTCAACAATAAAGATGAACTTAAAAAGAAGGAACTGTCAAACAAACTCAGTAGGTTTATTTTAGAGTAACTGGTGAATGAGCTTTAGGTTTCTTCACTCAATCCAATGAATGAATTTCAACATTTTGACAGTTTCTTGAGAACTACACAGAAAGGATGATATGTCCCAGACCTAAACTCACTCATTTGGTATAGTTCTCTAGCTCTCTCCTTAAGAAAGGTGATCATACATCCTTTTTTCCAGGATATGACCTCACTTTGTGACCTATAAATGAGGCCAGAATTTGCAAATTGCATAAAATGCCCAGAATTTGTCTTTGCTTCCATGTTGCCAATTGCTTTCTACAGTCGCCCTCCTGTGCCCAGTATCCCCTTTTTAAAGACTAAGTTAGCTAAGTTACATTCCCTTTTCAACACGAGTGACCTTGCCATCTTCAGGGTTGCAGCCTTTTAGTGTTCTGATGCCTGTTAATAGAAGCAAAACACGGACACAAATACTGGCTCCTGCATTTGCAGAAGTAAAGAGAAAATGAAAGTAATGAATCCACGTGACTTCTGGTAAACACAAATCTAAAAGCTCCTCTGGAATTCTCTCTGCAAGGGTGAAACTACATTGTTCCTCTTTTGTAAACCACACCTCTTTCAGGAAGGTGCCAAGTTTGTAGACTCCAGCTGGTTTCTAAAAGTCACCTTCTCCTGTTGGTGAACGCAAGCCTGGGAAGGGCACAACTGTCTGCTTAGCCGCACCCGAAACTTAAAGGTATTAACAAAGTAACTCTGACACAACAGGAAGGGCTGAGAGTCAGGAGGCTCGGTGGAAGACTCTGAGGGGGTCTTCTGAGTACTGTGTTGCACATTTGCAGGCACTTCTCTGCTTCTTGATTGCTTCGACATCCAATTTCAAGGAGGACAACAGATCCAAACGAGCAGATCTTCACCCGAAAGGATGAACTTCCTAAAGGATTCTTTGCTCAGATTTGGACGAATGACACAGTCATCTCCTCTCCACGCTACGGTACCTGTTACCTTCATCCTGATGGGAGCTGAAAAGATGATGGAGTTTGAGTTCTCTTGCCCGTGTGATCCTCGGTTGAACTTAAGCCTGGTCTCCCTTACGTTCAGTGTGCCTACTCTGCTTGTGTTCACCATGATGCTGATTCTGGCGAGGCCTTGTAAATACACCTGCGGATGCTGTTCATGCAAAAGGTTTGCAGAGTCTTTCCTTGCTTGCCTGATTCCACCAACCGTGTGGCTTATTTTGCTGTTTCTGGATGGCCAGTATTTGGCCTGTGGGATGACATACTGGAACGGAATTTATGTGTCGGATATGGGCGATCCTCCGGTGAGGTGGTGTGAACCTATTAGCTCAAATAAAATAAAAGGAAGAAGACAGCACCAAGATTTTGTAACATATTCAAAGGTAAGATGTTGCTACATCATACATGTTTATATACACCGGTCAGGCATAACATTCTGACCACCTCCTTGTTTCTACGCTCATTGTCCATTTTATCAGCTCCACTTACTATATAGGTGCACTTTGTAGTTCCACAGTTACAGACTGTAGTCCATCTGTTTCTCTGATACTTTGTTAGCCCCCTTTTACCCTGTTCTTCAGTGGTCAGGACCCTCATGGACCCTCACAGAGCAGGTACTATTTGGGTGGTGGATCATTCTCAGCACTGCAGTGACACTGATGTGGTGGTGGTGGTGTGTTAGTGTGTGTTGTGCTGGTACGAGTGGATCAGACACAGCAGAGCAAATAGTACCTGCTCTGTGAGAGTCCATGGGGGTCCTGACCACTGAAGATGCTTTTCTTTTGAAGCCCACAAGCAACTTTGGGGGTTCCTAGATGAACTTCCAGTCCAAAATAGTGGTTATTTCTTTCAAAGTCCTCCTGTGTTCTGACAGGTTCTTTCAGTAGCACCTGCATCCATGAAAAGCACGAGTGACTTATTTGCATACCTGAATATCAAATTTGTTTTTGTGTACAGGTTCTCCACGAATGCGTGAACACTGACACTGGCGTTGTTTTTGAAAAAATGAAACCACTTTTTTTTTAACAGTGCGGTGCAGAGTTGATCCGTCATGTTTTATTCCGAAACAGAAAGTAAAACAACATGCAATAAAGGAGTGATATGTAAGATGATGCAAACTGTGGAATTCATACTCCACACAGTTCCTCCTCCTCCCTCTTCACTCCTCCCCAGGCCCAGATCATATATTGGGTTTTATGGGCACATGCCCAGGGGCTGGAGTCACTAGGGAGCCCCCCATGAGCAATAAAGAGAAAACCTAAACAGCTGTTTTGACTAGCAGTGGGCACTTTACTAGCATTACAGCAAAAAAATGGTACTGGTATAGTGGTATAGTGTAGTGGGTTACACCACTGCCTTCTACGCTGTAGACTGGAGTCCAATCCCCCACCTGGGCATCATCCTTGTTGGCAGTGATCATCGTCAAACACAACTCCTTAAAGCGTTCTGCCAATGTGGCAAGCTGAGGAACCCAATCGGTTCGGTGAGTCTCCTTTGGATGGTCCCCTATAGATGATCTACAGATACTTCAAATATTAACACATTTTCTGGTGATACTCAGTTGATTATCAACAACATTGAGCTTAGGGTGAGGTTTAGGAGCAGGTGTAGGTTTTGCCTTGAGGTTAGGGTTAGTGTTAGGTTTAGGGTTAGGAACAGTTTTTTTAGAACCTTTCACAAAGATAGGTTAAAGATACACTAAAGATACACTAAGCATCTACAAGACATCTACAGTGGACCATCCAAATAAAGTGTTACCAAATATTCTATTATTATTTTTACTAATTTAACACTTTTCTTTTTTAAATTCAAGATTGTGGGTTATTTTCTGCTGTTTGTCATCTGCCTTGTAACCGTGTGTGCTGTGTGTTGCTGGGACTGCTGTCATCCAAAAGAGCAGGATGTGGAAAAAGTATCAGATGGGTATATAATGATCCTTATTTATTTATTTATTTATTTACAGTGTTATATACAAATAATATACAAACACAATTCCAAAGTTGTGGAAGTAGGTAAAATGCTAATAAATACAGAAAGCAGCTCTTAAATCCAATTTGACCTGTATTTAAATGAAAACAGTTTCTTGTCTTTGTACTTTAAATGTTTTATCTTATCAACTTCCTTGTTTTTTTTTGTTTTTTTTTGTGAATATACACTTATTCTGAAACTGAGGCCTGCAGCATGTTCAAAAAGTTGTGTTCTTAATGAATGAGGATGGGTCAACGCTCCCCACTTTACCAATCAGCTAGTAACGTAACAATTAAAAATAATGTTCCTTAGCAAGCAATTAAATATTTTACGTATTTCACCCCCTACAGTGCATAATATCAACAGATTCAAGAAATCAGAGAAATCTCAGTCTGTGTAGGAAAAGGCCAAAAACCACAACTAAATGCCCATGACATTTGACCCCTCATTAAAAATGAGTGACAAACTGTCACTGTACTGTGCACAGTGGAAGTCACATATCAACAACATCCAGAAACACCGCCGACTTCTCTGGGTCCAAGCTCATCTGAAGTGGGCTGATGCTCAGTGGAAACATGTATTGTGGTCTGACGAGTCAACCTTTCAGATCGTTTATGGAAATAATGGACGTCGTGTTCTGCAGGTCAAAGAAGAAACAGACCATCACGATTTTTACCAGTGTAAAATTCTAAATCTAGCGTCTGTCATGGTGTGCGAGGTATTAATAACCTGTACATCTGTGAAAGCACCAATAAAACTGAACATATTTTGGCGCAACATATGTTGCCTTCTAGATCACATCTTTTCCAAGATGTCCATGTTGATACAAACATGACAACATGAAGAAACATTCTGCATGTGTTACAACAGCATGGCTGCAAAATCAGAGAGTGCAGGAGCTAGACTGGCCTGCCTGCCTTCCTTTAAAAAAATGTGTTTTATTAACCTACATCACTGTATCAGTACATCACCATCACACAATTTGTTGTGATGCTACTGATTTTTTTTAAACATCACTTTTATGCATCAAATCGTCCAGCAATATGGTAATGCAGTATACCATTAGAAAGCTAGAAATCTCAGGATTTGATTCCCGTAAAACATTTTATGATCCCTTATTCATAGCAGTTATGATCGTCTCATCTGCAACAGAAGCACTGAATGAGCGAATGCTTGCAAATCTGTGTCCTCACCTTCAGAGCCTCAACGCCTCCACAAAGACATTATCATTTAAAACATGTGGTCTGATAACATGGCAAGAGTCAGATCAGTTTAGAGATCTATAAGTCAGCAGGAAATAAACCTCCCCATTCTAGACTCTGTTACTAGGCAAAAATGGGGTGAAAGTTTACAGGTTAAGCTCAAAATATGACAAGTCCCTGTAAGGTCACACAACTGAATACTTAAGTATATATGAATTAAAACTGAAGAACTGGATTAGTTTGTGTCTTCAGACCCCAAAAGATTATTGTGATAAGTGCTGTTAAAGGAAAGGTGATGTAACACAGTGGTAAACATGCTGCCGTCCCAACTTTTTTGGAACGTGTTGCAGGCATCAAATTTGGAATAAGTGCATATCTACAAAAACCAGTTTAAAAGATGAAAATATTACATTGTTGAACCATTTTTACTTCCACAGTTCCAAACACTACAATGCTGTGTTTTGTCTACACTCTTATGTAGAAAAACACAGTATTTTATGTATTACCTTTTGAACTGTTCTATAAATTGACCCTGTACATTTGAACTGTAACTGTAAATATGCACTTATTCCAAATTTGATGCCTGCAACAAAAAGTTAGGACAGCAGCATGTTTACTGCTGTGATACATCACCTTTCCTACAGTGCTCTGTTTTGCCTACACTCTTAAAAAAGTGTTCATAGTTCTATGTAGAGCCAATGCCTTTACTAAAGAACCCTTGAAGAACAATGATTTTAAGAGTGCAGTGCAGTGGTCACCCTCCATGCTCCTGGAGATCCAGTCCTGACTGAACACACCTGATCCACATCACTTAATTAGCTGGATCAGATGTTTTATTTGGGCTGAATTCTTTTGGAAGGTATCTCTTCAGGAGCAGAGCTGTGACCATCGGTCTGGTGTGTTTGTTAATAAAGTTTGTGCACTCGTGACCATCCACTGGTTCTCATGAGGTCTTTCTGTCACATTACCGACATGCAGTTGATTGTGATATTAAATGTATATAGTGATGCAATGACAGCTTATCATTTGATCATCCTAATTTAAACTAGTACAACAGAATAACTGAACATTGCAGACCTGTTTAAATTCTTGAATTGTGCGTTTCAGTAAAACACGTCAACAGTGAAGCAGAAGCGACGGTTCCTTGACGGATCCCAATGGGTCCTTCTGCACTGGCCCTGCTTGACCACCGTACAGCCAATTGTTTGTGCCATTCAACCTGGAAAAATCCTGATCTGGATGTTCCGGAGACTTTAATGAACAGTCAGCTGTCACAGTCCTCACACTTCTGTCATGATCTGCAATGAGCTTCATCCCTGTGACCCCCCTATGAACTCTACACTGTACTTCATCCCCACCATGTTATTATATTTAACATCCAGAATTAAATGAGTTACAAACTCCATATTACATAAACTATATTTGTTTATCATTCATCTACACACAGCTGTTCTGATTTTGGGCCGGTGACTTTAGATATAAATAAACCAAATTTCATTGCCACTACAAATGTTTCTGAATATTATTTTGTAGCACATTTTGCCACATTAATATTGTCTTTTCATAGCGAGGCTTATTGGAAACTGAGACATTCTGTAAACCAGTATTGAACTTGGATGTGGCTTGACTGTTTCTTTAAACAATAGGTCCTTTACAATTGGTTTGGTCCTTTGTTTTGGCTCTTTTTGCCATGTCTGGGTGTTTTTGACCTACACACCAAAGTTCAAACTTCACCATAGTAGTCACTGCATTAAAGCCTCAGTTTGAAGATCCCTATTTTTTTGTTCTTGTACAGTTATTGCCAGTTCTTGACTTTGAGCCCTGTGATCCACAAATTGTTTCCATCCACAGAATCATTAGAATCTACAGGTAGTTTTTTTTGCTTTTCACATCTCCCTCAGTAAAACCTTAAAGATGCAGTGTGTAAGATTTAGTGGCATCTAGTGGCGAGATTGTGATTGCAGCCAGTTGAATCCCCACTCCCTCACCACTCCCATTTCCAAGCATGTAGCAAAACCTATGGTGTCCATCAGGTTTTCTAATGTTTTCTGTCCCAATTTCTTTTTGCTTCTTCAAATTTTCACCCCTTTGACAGCAAAGATGCACCCTCCCTCCCTTTTTTTGTGCTAAATAGTAAGTATAATCCTTCATTCCTCAAAATTTGGGTTCTTAAGTTTCTCACAACAGCCAGCACCGAAACTACAGCGCCACCAAATTCAAGCTGCTGGTTCAGCATAAAAACTTGAAAGGCACCCTCGTGAGCCGGTGTTTGATTTGTGCGTTCTGGGCTACTGTAGAAACACGGTGGTGGTAGTTTCTGTTGGAAGGGGAGCCACTCCCAATGTAGATATGAATGGCTCATTCTTAGATAACGAAAACACAGTGTAATTACAGGTGATTATACACTGATGGTAACATGGTTTTGTTACTATATTCCATTTCTGATAATAGATTCTACTAAAACATTAAAATGGTTATGCATATAAATGATACCGTTTGGGTCAGCATTTTTACTAGCCTAAAAGGCTGAACAGGCAGGGCTTCAGCACTGGCAGGGGGCCTCCACATCATTGCTACCCATTGATGAGTAAATGAGTAATTTTTCTTTTTAGATATGTTGGTTAATTATTACTGTTCATAAAAGCTGTGGATATCACAGATTGAAGGTGACATCTCCCCTCAACCCTGTTGATGTATAAAGAGTTTGATAGGTTCATGGAGGGCAAGGCTTATCCAGACTTACTAACCCATCCAGCTGCAGTGCTAATGCGATGATGGCACCTACATTAAGCACTCGCAAACAAAAACAGCTGCAGGTCCACTAATATATTAGTTTATTACTCAGCATGAGTTTCTTGCAATTTCTTTGCATTAAACAATAGACTAAAAGCGCAGTTCTCATCAAATATCAGCAGGTGGTGCATTAAATCAACACTGTGTCAGTTTTGGGGATTTGGAGACCTCTCTTGTGGAAGTATGCAACTGCAAGCAGAATATTGTAGCATGGGTTCTGCTTCCACCCCTTAACTGAGCAGAAGAATCTGACAATTGAAAGAGAATTCAAAGAGAACACGGTCAAAACTTGGTGAAGGAGCATCTTCTGAGGATGTGAGTGAATCATCTACTATCGTCATCACATCCTTATCAGTTTGATGTTGACTTTGAGATCATTTGAGGCCTTCAAGCCGGACCTTCTTGTTGAGTCTGTGCCCTGTGATGTTAATATGTAAAGATGTGCGACGTGGTGTAAAAAGCTTCTCTGACTTTTTATATCATTATTACAGTCTCAAGGTTGTTTCAAGACATTCTTATTTTCCATAGTCCTACGTACGCCTTTTTCACATTTTAGACTAGGTAAACAAAGACAAGTTAGTCAGGTTCAGCTAGATTTGGCTTCCACAGTAAAATTTTGCATAAGGCATCCTAATCCTATAGTCTATAGCCCTCTATGCAGTTGTTTGAAGGTCTGTTTTGTTGTCACAGTCTTAACAATAACAGTGGTTTCACATGTTTTGCATCTATTTGCATGTAAACATAAACCCAAACACGCATATGTAAGCTGCATACATCAGGCATTCAACTCACAAGATGGCTTCGGTACTGGAACCTGGGCTCAGAATCAAAGAAGGAATACAAAAATCTCCTCTCCTTTCTATACTTCCATTCAGCATCATGATGATAGGGATTGAAAAGCTGATGGAGGCCGAGTTCTCGTGCCCGTGTGAGCCTGTGCTGAACCAGCTGCTTGCAGCCTTCATGTTCATCACTCCTGCTCTGCTTGCGTTCATCATAATGCTGTTTCTTGTGAGGCCGTGTAAACACTGCAGCTGCTGCTCATGCAGAAAACGTTGCGCGAAGGCTTTCCTTCCTTGCCTGATGCCACCAGTCGCTTGGGTTATTATGTTGCTTTTGGACGGCCAGTACGTGGCCTGTGGGTTGACATTCGGGCAAGGAAATTATATCTCAGATCAAGGCGATCCTCCTGTAAAGTGGTGTGATGGCAACAGTTCAGAGGAAGCTGTGCAAAAACAGCTGCATCAGCTCATCGTAAAATGGTCCCAGGTAAGGCGTCACCTTTTCACCAGCCTTACAAATGAAAGTGTACTTAAAGTTCATTTTATTCAGTTAACCTAAGTAAAGCTAAAGTGCCATATAATATAATATATATATAATATTCTGCCTTCAAATAGACGTTTTAGAGTACGGAAGTCAAGACTTAACAGGTTTAGGAATTTCTTCATCCCTCAGTCAGTTGTGATACTCAATCAAATGAGTGAACTGTTAGAAAAGTGCACAGGTAGTAACTCACAGATATTGGGTTGAAGGGTGTACAGTGGAATCGGGTAATGGTGTAAAGTGTGTTGTTGTGGTTTATTGTAATTTGCGTTTGTCTGATTGTTTGTCATCTTTCCCTCCCTCTACCCCTTATTTTCTCATGGAGCTGCTATGATGCAAGAAAAATTTCAGAGAAATCTGACAAAAATGTGTATCGTATCGTAACAAGTATATTTCCCAAGTACACTTTATGTAGTAAGTGTACTATTTCAGTACTTCTTGGGACTAAATTGTCCTACTTTTTAGTTCATAAAATCTACTTTTAATTAAGAGAGCAACTTTGAGTACACAACTAGATTACATCTGAGATTTATTTTCTCCTGAAACTATACTGTGAACTTCACTATAAGTGAACCTTTAGGTACTAGTTACACTGTACAGGATCTACCTAAAGAAAGACTTCATGTGGTAACAAAGTAAATGAACTAGTTTTATTCAACTCAAAAATGACTTTGATTGAAAGAATCGTTCATAAACTTAAACTTACTAATTTATTTTAAATTTGAAGTAATAATACTATCAGCACACTTTAATTAACTTCCTTTTTTGTAAAGGCTGCTTTTTGTTTGTTCACTCTTTTGTGTAATAATCATATTCATTTTTTACTTTTATTGTTTCATTTAAGATTGCAGGGTTTTTTGCACTGACTGTTATCTGCTTCATAACCGTGTGTGCTGTGGGTTGCTTGGACTGCCGTCAAGCTCCAGAGGAAGATGTGGTACGTGTACTGAATTTTATTTATTTTCTATTTAATAGAATTAAGTCAAAGTGTAATTTTCATAGCATGAAATGTTTCTCACAGAGTCCTTATCCTCATCACTGTGTGAACACTGTACATTATCAATAGGTCGCATGCTTCCTTTGTTGTCCTAAAAATAACCCCTTTTTGATGGTTGTCATGTTTCACCTGTGGTTTTCCTGCTGCATTTTCATACAACAGGAAAACCTGCTTGCTTTTTCTGTCCCAGTTAATCACTCAAGTTTCAGTTCGTCTCTTATCTACTGTACCATCTTGAGAGCAGGGGGTTCTTCATGTGGTGTGAAAGCTTACAGGCTCAGTAGGTCCCACAAACTCCCACAAGAAGATAAAAATAAAGACAAAAAGATAAAAGATTAAGATTGAATGTGAAGTCAAAATGAAATGTCAAATCTTGTCGCAACCTTCCACAAGTCCTTTACTTAGGCTGCGTCCAGAATGAAAGTTACTGCTTTTTCCCACTGATTCTCCTCCTCCTCGTCTCCTCTTTGACCCAGAAACGGACTTTGATCTCTGCCATCTTTAGCTACGTTCACATTACAAACCCTGCTCAAATCCGATTTTATGCTCAAATCCGATCTCTCTGACATGATGGTTCACACTCGTTTAGGTAAGTGATTCAAATCTGTCATTAATGTGACGAACCGGCGTCCTGAAATGACCCTCATGAGCTCATCCTACTCAGTAACGTCACGTGAACGAATCACGAGCATCATCAGCACAAACTAACGAGCAGAACGAGCTTCGCTGAGAAGATCATTAACTCTGATCAGCTCTCAGCTTCATTATTAGAGCGAGACGAAGGAGAAAAAGGTGAGATGAGCTGCTTTTCCACCGTTTACAGGCTTTAACTTCTGTTCGGCGCTGCTGCCATGGTAACGCTGAATGATGGCGCAGCGCAGTGGAGAAAAAGCACATGAATTCCGATCTGAGCGTCACATTAAGGTCACATGGCCACAAATCGGATACGTATCTGATCTAGGACCACATATGAAAGTGACTCAGGTCAGATTTGAAAAGATCAGATTTGTGTCCACACAGCTCTGAAAACATCAGATCTGAGTCACATTAGGGCAAAAAATCAGATTTGTGCCACTTCAGCCTGGTAATGTGAACGTAGCCTTACAGGCTGTCCGAGGAGAAGAGAGAAGCTGCTCCAAACGTCGACCAAAGAGTCTTTAAACAGAGCATAAATGGGTGAAGGCTACCCAGGAAGCCTTTTACAGATTTTAGAGTGATATCACTGCAAACATGTTCAGAGAGGACAGACAGTGATGGATTAGGGTGGTATTAGGGGCGGGCTTTTAAGCAAACATTTTGATTGGCTCAGGTCATCAGTAGTCGACATCTGGGCTGCGTTTAACCTAGATGAAATATAGCAAAACGTTAATTTAAACAG